GTTGTGGCCACATCGGGAGCGCGGGCGAAGATGTTATTCACAATTGCGGTAGTCACAACTGCGTATGGTTGGGTCTTTCACCAGGCTAAATTCTTTTTTTCCTCTACGGCCACTACGGCTAGTACTCCTACTCCCACTACTACCAGTACTGCGATTCCTTTTTTCTGCTATTACTTTCAGTTTCACTTCCACTATCATTACTACTACTACTACTACTACTACTACTACTACTACTACTACGAACTACTGGTACTACCACTACGACTTCTCTTGTTACTAGTACTACTAGTACGATTTGTATGACTACTACTACTACTACTACTACTACTACTACTACTACTACTACTACTACTACTACTACGACTACGGCTACGACTACGACTACTACTACTATTACTACTACTACTACTACTACTACTACTACTCCTACTACTACTACTACTACTACTACGACTACTACTACTACTACTACTACTACTACTACTACTACTACTACTACTACTACTACTACTACTACTACTACTACTACTACTACTACTACTACTACTACTACTACTACTACTACTACTACTACTACTACTACTACTACTACTACTACTACTACTACTACTACTACTACTACCACTACTACTACTACTACACTACTACTACTACTACTACTACTACTACTACTACTACTACTACTACTACTACTACTACTACTACTACTACTACTACTACTACTACTACTACTACTACTACTACTACTACTACTACTACTACTACTACTACTACTACTACTACTACTACTACTACTACTACTACTACTACTACTACTACTACTACTACTACTACTACTACTACTACTACCACGACCACTACTATTACCTATCACCTACCTGCCTACCTAAGTCCCTACCTACCAACCTGCGTACTCACCTACCTACTGCCTACTGCCTACGAGTGTGGCGACAGAGAGCTTAGACACGCGACGACGCTTCACTTTCGACCCCCGAAGCCTGAATGACACTGTCTCTCCTGACGCGTGGACGGCGGCACCGCCCAGGGCTGGGCTCTCGAGGAATGCCGTGCGTTCCCGCCGCGTGGCCCCGCAGGTACGCCGACGGAGTGCATTCGCTGGCGAGCTCGACCAGGGGAGCTTCGGTTTCCGCGGAGGAGGCGGCCCCGCGGCAGCCACTGGGGCGGCATGGAACGGGGCCGAAGGGTCGAGCATCGAGGTTTTTGGCGGCCTGTCGCTCTGTTTGGGGCTCCGGGGGGCCTGCCGCTGCCGCGGCTGGATTTCCCCCACGAGCTGCAGGCCAGAAGTACGCACGTGGACAGATCCGAATCTTGTGGCCCGGAGTTCAAGCACTAGCACAGTCGAAGATGTCGTGCCAGAGCTTACTCGTGCCCCAAGTTCACATGATGGGGTTCTGGTTGATCGTGTGACGCAACAGCCTCCCTCCTTTCTTCCCGCCTCCTCCCTCCCTCTTACTACACTCAGGGCAGTCATATTCAGGCTCACTCACACACAGACTCACTTGTATTCAGAACCACTGGTACTCAGATTCGGTCTCACTCGGATCCACTGATACTCAGACTCGCTCATACTCAGAATCACGCACACAGACCACCCCCTCTCATATCCACGCATACCAAGCCACGTCATATTCAGACTCATTTTCATACTCTACTCGCAATATGATCCCTCGCGCTCGCAATACAAGCGCTGGGACATCGTAGTTGTGATACTTGCGCGCCATAAGTGGGAGGACTCCAGTGGGTATGACGCTCGCCCGTTATCGCCTAGAGTTGAGAGCCCCATGCTCACCGCGACGTAGCAGGCGTGGCATATGGGCACCCCAAGTGGGAACTGCCACGGGGTGTGACACTCGCCCGTTCTCGCCCAGATTGTGGGGGTGTCTCAGGCGGTCGGCTCGTTTTGCCTGGCCCTTCCCCATGACCACAGTGACATAGCAGGCGTGGCACTTGGGCACCCCAGGTGGGGGGCCGCCAGGGGGTATGACCTTCGCCCGTTCGCACACAGATTCTGGGGACGTCTCACGCGTTTTGCTTGCTTTGCCCCCCAGATCCCTTTCCTTTGACCGCCCCATGATCACCGCTACGTAGCAGGCGTGGCATATGTATGACATTCGCCCGTTCGCGCCCAGATTCTCCTGATGTCTCAGGCGGTTTGGTTATTGTTGCCCCCCCAGACCCTTTGAGTTTGATGTGCAAATAATCACCGCGACATGGCAGACGTGGCATGCGGACCCAAGCGGGTGCCGCCAGCGACACTCGCCCGCTCGCACCCATCTCATGGGGGCGTCTTGAGAGTTTTTGCCCTCCAGACCCCTGTGTTGAGAGCCCCATGGTCGCCGCGACACAGCAGGCGTGGCATATGGGCACCCAAAGTGGGCGTCGCCAGGGGGCATGACACTCGCCCGTTCGCACCCAGATTGTGGTGATGTCTACGGCGGTTTTCTCGGTTTGTCTTCCCGGAGTCTTCTCTTTTGAAAGCCACGTGATCACAGCGATATGTCAGGCATGCCATAAGCGGTGTCAGAGGAGGAGGAGGAGGAGGAGGAGGAGGAGGAGGAAGACCAGGGGGAGGAGGAGGAGGAGGAGGGGGAGGAGGAGGAGGAGGAGGAGGAGGAGGAGGAAGAGGACGTTCCAGCCGCACTGGCGGACCAGGTGCTGCCCGCCGCGCAACGAGCCCTCGGGGACCTCGGCCTCGAACTGCAGGCCGCCAAGACACAGGCCTGGTCAGCTGGCGGGGAGCGCCCCCAGGGCTTGGAGGACTACTGGCGCCCGCAGGGGCTCACGCTTGCAGGGGCGCCGCTCGACGCGCCGCCGCCCGGAGGACTCCCGGACGCTTTGGACGAGCGCCGGGTGCCCCTAGGGACAGCTGGCTACGCGGCGGACCACTGCGCGGGCGTGGCGGCGCGCGCGGCCGCCCTCCTGGAGAAGCTCACGGACCTGCCCACGGAGGCTTCCCCGCACTTGCCCGCGACGCAAGCGGCCGCGCTGCTCCTGCGCCACTGCTGCAGCGGCAAGCTCACGCACCTGCTCCGGAGCACGCCGCCCACGAGCACCGCTGCCGCCGCTGCTGGCTACGACGAGGCGCTCCTCACGGCCTACCAGCGGCTGACTCGCCTGGACCCGCTGACGGAGCCCCAGCGCGCGCAGTGCAGGCTGCCGCTGCGCCTCGGCGGCCGAGGCCTCCGAAGCCAAGAGCAACTCGCGCCGGCGGCCTGGGTAGGCTCTTGGGCGCAGAACTTGGCTGAGGTGCGGGCCCGGACAGGCTTGGCGGCGCTGGGCGACCTGGAGCAGGCCCAGCAACCTCTGGCGGCCGCTTGCAGGGCCGCCCGCCTGCTACTGCCGCAGCCCGGCGACGGGCCGGGGGAGGGGACTGGCGCCCTCCCCGCCTGGGCTGACCTGGCCGAACAACCCCGCACTAAAGTGCAAAAGGAGCTGACGCGAAGGCTTGACCAAAAAAACCTTTTGGCCTTGCGCAGCTCTTGCGCTAGCGAGGACAAGGCGAGGCTGCGCTCCTGCGGGGGGCCCCACGCGGCTGGCTGGCAGCAGGCCGCGCCGGGGGCGGCGGGCCAGCGCCTGAGCGACGACGAGTACTGCAGCACTGCTCGCGCGCTCCTGGGACAGGACCTCGCGCCGCCAGGGGCGCTCTGCGGGAACCGCCTTCGCACTGGCGAACGGGCGGGCCGGCCCTGCGGGGAGCCGCTCTGCAGCAAGGCACACCACGCCTACCGGTGCTCCTGCGGCGGCGGCCCCAAGGCCCGCAGCGGGGACATCGAGGCCGTCTGGGAGCGCATTCACCGAGAGTGTGGCTTCCATGTGGCCCGACAGGTCCCCGTCCCCGCCTGGGACCGCTGGAAGTGGCGCTGCGGCCACTGCGACGCGCGCGGCGCCGCCTTCCAGCCGCCGGGGCCCTGCGGCGCCTGCGGCCAGCCGCTGGACGCGCGCCGCGAAGAAGCTGTCCTCGACCTCGAGGTGCAGCACGCGGGCTGCCCACGTCTCTTCATCGACGTGACGGTCCGCTACGCCGTGCCGGGCGACGCGGAAGCGCTGGAAGCCGCGGCCCGGCACGACGGCGCCGTTGCCGCGGTGGCCGAGGCCGACAAGCGGCGCCGCTACCCCGCGGGCGCCAACTGCCCCTGGCCGCTGCTGCCGCTCGCCTTAGAGTCAGGCGGGCGGCACGGCAGGGCGGCGCTGCAGCACCTCCGCCAGCTCGCCCGCGACCAGGCGCAGCTTGTGGACGAAGACCGGGCCGCTGCGGTCGCCAGCGCCCTGGCGCAGCGCTGGGGCGCCGAGCTCAGCGTCGCCCTGCAGCGGGCGACGGCGCGGCAGCTGCGCACCGCCCTCGGCGGTGACCGCGCTGCCCGGGCCGCTGGGCTAGGCGCCGCGGCGGCGGGCTGAGCTGGCGCCGGGGCGGGCTGGCTGCCCGGCGTTCGCGGATGGTCTGCTACCGGGTCGTGCCGCTGCTCGTCGAGCTCTGCGGGCGTAGGTGTCTGGTGGCGTCGCGACCTCTCTTGGCGCAGGAGGAGGAGGGGGATGATGATGATGCTGCTGCTGATGATGACGATGATGATGATGATGATGATGATGGTGATGATGGTGATGATGGTGATGATGATGATGATGATGATGATGATGATGAGGATGAGGATGAGGATGAGGATGAGGATGAGGATGAGGATGAGGAGGAGGAGGAGGAGGGAGGAGGAGGAGGAGGAGGAGGAGGAGGAGGAGGAGTCTCGGAGTCTCGGGGCCCGAGAAGCGGTCCCGAGTGCGCCCGCGGGCGCGGACGGGCCACCCTCAGCCGCGCAGGCGCGCGGGGCGGGGCGACGAGTGTCGCCGCGCGCGGCGCCCGTCCGCAGGGGGACGAGACGGGCGGCCGAGGCGGCCGCGGTCAGCGACCGCGGACGCGTGGGGGCGGAGGCCCTGCCACGTGCCGCACCAGAGCCGCGAAGGCGTCGGCGGCGCGGCCCGGCGCGCGCGGC